CGTCATAGAGCCTGACCAACACCTCAAACATTAGAGTGAAAGGATAAAATGACAAGCGAGAGTAACTTTGTACAGCCTGCTATTCCACGGTTCGATGGACACTATAATAACTGGAGTATGTTTATGAAAAATTTTCTGCATTCCGAGGAGTACTGGAGTTTGGTGGAAACTGGGATCCCTGCAGCAGTGGAAGGGGCAGATCTCACAGACGGACAGAAGAAGATGATTGAGGATCAAAAGTTGAAGGGCCTGAAGACTAAGAACTATCTATTCCAAGCCATTGATCGATCTATTTTGGAAACGATTTAAAAAAAGGACACAATAAAAGATATTTGAGACTCTTTCAAGCAAAAGTACCAAGGGACAGCATGAGTCAAACGTGCTCAACTCCAAGCTCTTTGCAAGGAGTTTGAAGTGTTGCACATGAAAGATGGGGAATCAATAAGTGACTACTTCGGAAGAATTCTTACCATAGCCAATAAGATGAGAATTCATGGTGAAAGAATGGAGGATGTGGTAATTATCGAGAAGATCCTGAGATCCATGACTCCAAAGTACAATTATATGGTATGCTCAATTAAGAATCAAATGATTTGTATACTTTATTCATTGATGAGCTTTAAAGTAGTCTGTTGGTGCATGAACAATGAATTAGTCGTCACATTATGGATAAACAAGCCCTTTAGATCATTTACGAACCTCAACTAAAAGGAAGAGGTGGTGATAGAGGTTCTTATCGAGGTAGAGGAAGAGGCAAGGGCAGGTTTAGGTTTGATAAAACTACCCTAGAGTGTTACAACTATCACGAGTTAGATTATTTTCAATAGAAATGTCCTAAAAGAGCAAGAGATACAAAGGTCAACTTTGTTAAGACTAGTGAAGATATGCTTTTAATGGCACATGTGGATGGCAATGATGCTGGAAAAGATCATTTGTGGTTTCTTGATTTCGAGTGTAGTAACCACATATGCGGGGAAAGTGTGGGAAAAGAGAGTTATTCTCACAGTTCGATAACAATTTCAGAGAAAAAGTGAAGTTAGGCAATAATACAAGTCTCATTATACAGGGGAAAGACAATACTCAAATGGAGATAAATGGAATCATACAGGTGATTACTGATGTTTTCTTTGTGCCAGATTTGAAGAACAATTTACTAAGCATTGGTTAGTTGCAAGAGAAGGGTCTTACAGTGGTCATACAACATTAAAAATGCAAGATTTATCATTTTGAAAAAGGTTTAGTCATGGAAACCGATATGATATATAACAAAATGTTTTTTGTGCTTGGTCGTTGTCCATTAAAAGAAGAAACTTGCTTCTCCTCCATGACCACAGATCAAATTCACCTTTGGCATTGTCGCTATGGTCATCTTAGTTGGAATGGTCTCGAGGTGATCCAATAAAAGAATATGGTGGATGGATTGCCTCAGTTGAAGGCTCCGTCAAAGATCTGTGAAGACTGCTTGATAGGAAAACAACATCGCGATCCTTTTCCGAAGGAAAGTACATGGAGGGCATTTGGAGTTCTTCAGCTCGTTCATGCAGGCATATGTGGGCCAATAAATGCAATCTAGAACAGCAAAAAAAAGGTATCTCATTACCTTTATTGACGAATTTAGTAGAAAAACTTGGGCTTATTTCTTGGTTGAAAAATCAGAAGCAATTGCTATCTTTAAATCCTACAAAGCCAGAGTTGAGAAAGAAACTAGTACATTTATAAAGAGTATTTGAACTGATCGCGGGGGAGAGTTTACATCGCAAGAGTTCACCCATTTTTGTGATAAGAATGGCATTCAAAGACAATTAACAGCTGCATGTGCACCACAACAGAACAGGGTTGTAGAGCGAAAGAATCGTACTATTATGAATATGGTGCGCAACATGCTATTAGAGAAGCAAATTCCAAAGAATTTTTAGCCTGAAGCAGTGAACTGGACAGTGCATATCTTGAATAGAAGCCCGACACTTGCCATGAGAATTAAGACACCAGAAGAGATCTAAAGTGGATTAAAATCATAAATAAGTCACTTTCGGATTTTTGGATGCATTTCTTATGTTCATGTACCTGATAGCAAGAGAGTAAAACTGGATGCCAAAAGTCTAAAATGCATACTAAGGATAAGTGAAGAATCCAAAGCCTATAAGTTATTTGATCCTATTTCTAAAATTATAATTGTCAGTCGCGATGTGATTTGTTAAGAAGACTAAAAATGGAAATGGGATGATAGTCATAAAGAAACTATCTTAGCTGATTTGGAATGGAAGGAAGACGACGATGAGGGTAGAAATGCCAGCCTTGCCAGCCCTAAGGAGGAAACTAATGCGAACAACACTTCTGCTGCAGCAAACAACACTCATGCTGCAGCAAACAACACTCATGCTGCATCAACCATCACTCCTGCAATTAATCTTGTCAGTGAACTTAACACTGTAGGGTCTGTTCATGATAACTCACTTGATGGGGGAGAGTTTTCCAGTGATGGCAGAGGAAGAATTCGAAGACCACCAGGATGGATGCAGGGCTATATAAGTGGTCAAGGTCTTTCTAATGAAGAAAATGTCAATATGGCTCATCTAGCCTTATTCTATGACCATGATCCTTTGACATATGAGGATGTAGTGCAAAATAGCAAATGGTGATAGGCCATGGATAATGCTATTGTGAAGAATGACACTTGGGAACCCATCGGCTTGCCATTTAGGGTAAAGACAATTAGAGTTTCACGGATTTTTAAAATGAAACTCAATGAAAGTAGGGAAATGGACAAATACAAGGCACAACTCATTGTGAAAGGGTAAAGGACTCCGCCACACAGGATCAAAATCCAGGGAGCTGACGTGGCTGTAATGACGTGTCATCCACGTAGGACATATAGGTCAACCAAATCTGACGTGGCAGTTTGACTGGTCAGAGTGCTGATGTGTCAGGTGAATATATGTCAACCAAATCTGACGTGGCAGTTTGACTGGTCAAAGTGCTGATATGCCTGATGACTGTGCAGGACTGCTGACGTGCCTAATGACGTGGCAGTTTGACTGGTCAGAGTGCTGATATGTCAGGTGATGTGTCTGATGACTGTGCAGAACTACTGACGTGGCTGATGACGTGGACAGTCACCCCGCCGGCGCGCGCGACGATTTCCGACGTCCGATTTCGACGCGGTTTTCACCAGTGGCTTCGTCTCTTCCTCCTCTACACAGTGGTATGGTCAAAACACAATTTTGACAACTTTCATGTTTGAGCAAAATCAAACACCACTTTAAACCGAACGCTCTGATACCAATTGTTGGGAATTTCCGACCGGTGATGTTCTGATACTTGCTCATAGGAGAGCCAAGCACACTGACACAATATTTAACGTGGTTCGGCAAAACCGCCTACATCCACGGGAGAAGTCAATATATTTAGAGATAGAGAAAGAATACAAAACAAATACATGGAGGAGGAGGATTATACCCTCTCATACTCAACTCTCAACTCTCTTTGCTGCACTTGCAGCTGCTGCAATGGCAGCAAGGCTGCTGCCATTGCAGCTCTCTCTTCCTCTCTACTCTCTTCACATTTTCATAATTCTCGTCACACATTTTGCTCTCTTGCATATGCCTCTATTTATAGGCATTCATGGAGGTTTTTCTTCAACAAAGGTGGCTGCCAACTCCAACTCTTCTTCAACAATGGTGGCTGCCAACTTTTGACATCTTGGATGAGTGCACATGGTTGGTGCAATAGCAAATGGTTGTTGCACATTAATGGCAACCAACCTAACACATTGTTGCTGCATCTAATGCTTGCCAAGTAGTATGGCTGAGGAGGATCTTGGAGTAGCTTAATCATTGTCAAAACAAACCAACCATGATTCACTGTGATAACATCTTAGCTATTAAACTGTCAAAGAATCCAATCATGCATGATCGTAGCAAAAACATTGATTTGTGTTTCCACTTTCTTTAAAATCTCATCAAAGATGAAGTTATTGAATTGATGCAGTGTTCCACTCAAGAACAAATTATAAACATTCTGACAAAGCCACTAAAGCTCGAAATGTTTGTGAAGATGCATGGTCTTATAGATGTTTGTGAATATCCAAAGATAAACTTAATGTTAATACATTCAGTTTAAAGGAGGCTATTAAAGTTGTTAAGATCCTCTAGATTAATATGGTTCGAGTTTCATTGTTTTTAGGACGTAAGTGTTTTAAAGTCATGTATAATAATCCCTAGTCTTAAAGGACAAATGATTCTATGTTTTGTTTCAGTCATATACCATGATTGTAGGACCGTAAAATCATAGGTTTTTATTTCCCTTTTATCTTGATAAAAGGCTATATAATATTTACCAATATTAGAGTTGGAAATATCCGTAGTTGAATATTCACTAATACTAGAATCAAGAATATTACAAGCATACCATCAGTAGCATAGTACAACATACCTTTAGCAATTTAAAACAAAACCACCAATGCAACCTATCTTAGATAGAATGCTTAAAGGGTAATAATATCTTCTTCTTTTTTTTGCGTAAATAGTCATATGCTATAAAATCTCTGTTGACTAATTAGGGCTCCTAATGATCATAATACTAAATGATGACTCCTTAAATAAGACATTTTCTCCTAAAGAACAAGATGCCAGAAAATATGTTATTTCTTTGCCAAATTTTGAATTTTTAAAGGTTATCATGATATTGGGTGTAATAGAATGGTAACTCTATAAGAGAACTCGAGGACTAAGCTTTGCCTTTTGTTTGTTAATTGCAAAAAATGTTTGTCGTGTTGTGTTTATTTGTGCAATGTTTTAAATTAAAAGATATAGGAAAAGGCAACCAAGCCTTTCATGGCTTAGAAGAGGGTATAAATGAATGAGGGGTAGTGTAGTAATTCAATAAACTTGATAAATATAAATAGAAAGAAAAAAGAGGTCTGAAAAATTTAGAGTGAAAAACTGACGGGAGAGAGAAGGGAGAAAGAAGAAGAAGAAGAGAAAAGAGGGAAATTAGAAGAGAAATAGAAAGGAGTTAAATGAAATAAGTTTAAAGGTAAGATTTAGGTTGTTAAATGTATAAATATGTATTATTAAGCTTTTAATTTTGGTTTTGATAAATGTTAGAATTTTGAAAATTTGTGTTTGAATTTAATTGATGAATTAAATTGAATGTTATGGCTTTGATTGCTGTAGGTAATTGATTATTTAGTTAATTATGGAAGATTGTGATGATTTCGAGTTATGAATTATGTAAATAGTGAATTTTGAGTTAGAAATTTGGAAAGAACAAAAGGTTTCTGTTGAAATTCTGGGTTGGAGTTTGAAGATGATGAAAATTCAATTTGGTCCCTTAATTTGTGAAAATTACAATTTAGTCCCCAAACTTTGTAAAATTACAGATTGGTCCCTGGAGCATATTCCGAGATTCTGAACAGAATAACATATGAATTATGGGAAGAATTACTGTATAGTTATGAAATTTTAAAACTTTCAATTTGGTCCTCCAATTTGACAAAAAATACCATTTGACCCTAAAAATTTGGTAAAATTCCATAATGGTCCCTGGAGTATAATGAGATATTCTGGACAAAATTGAGGATTAATTATGGTCATAATTTCAGCATATTCATGGATTCATGACAAATTTTAGTTTGGTCCTCCATTTGACAAGAAATTACAATTTGACCCTACAAATTTGGAAAAATTCCAGAATGGTCCCTGGAGTATAATTAGAGGTTCTGGACAGAAATGAGGATGAATTATGGATATAATTCAACTATATTCATGAATTTATGATATATTTAGTTTGGTCCTCTAATTAGACGAAAATTACAATTTAGCCCTAAAAAATGATAAATTACATATTAGTCCCTAGCTGTAATATTAGATTTTTCAGATTGGTTTGATGAATAATTGAGGGTTATTTAGTGAATTATTATCAATTTTTTTATTTTTTTATTATGGATTAGATTTTAGAAAAACTGTTAGATTTTTGAGTTTTTGAGAAAATAACTAGTTTAGTTTAAAAAGATATAGGATTATGGAATATACACTTAGATAAGTGTATTAAATAGGTTATATGTTCTTTTGAGTCATTTTTGAATATGTCTCCTTTGTATTCAGATAATCCTTATATTCTACTGGTGGGACGTTAGTAGGATTTCCTTCGGTATCAGCTTTGAGTTCTGTTTGTTTTCGAGTCAGGTGAGTGGATAATTTTCCATGTGCATGAGAAATATTATAAATATTTAATTTATTAATATGAATTGGATCATGCTTCTTGATAATATATATGTTGATTATTATCCTTGTTATGAAAAAGCATGATCAATTGTTAAATATGATTTCTTGATATGAACCAGTATATATTTGAATTGGCTTCATAATTGATAGCTTCTCATTTGATTGATGTCATGAGTTGAACATTGAGATATAACTATGTCTTTTTTATTATGATTATGAACCTATGGTATACTAGTCAGGATACCCATGCTAACAGGGTAGTATTAGTCTTTGTGCACATCGTATTTGAACCCTAGTTGGTCGGGGGAGTCACCAACCTATGTGGATTGATCATCCCATAGTATGGAGCCTCATGCTCATTGTATTTTGATTTTCTGACAAGTTTTACTATATGATATTCTTGTTATGGCCTATTTGATAAACCTTTCTATAAGAAACTAGAGCCATACTTGCATATATATTTCTCATTGTTGTATTACCTCGAATGTGTATATTGAACATTATCTACTCACTAAGTTGTTGAACTTACCCTCTCATTATTTATCCTTTTCAGGCTTATAGCTTGATAGCAGGTCACTTTTGTTGGACCTTCAGAACCTGCTCTTTTAGTTGTAAATTTGTACATTTTTCTTTATGTCTAGTTAGTGCTCCAAAACTATGAATTTATATAAAATCTTGTATTAGGACAATCAAATTATATTATAAAGTTAGTTTTGTTGTTACTGTCGTGTTGAACTCTGATTGAATTATTTGAAGAATAAGTTTTTATGTAAGTTTGGGTTTGCATAGGTATGGAACCTTGAAGGGGAACCTTACCTATGTACTAGTCATGGATCCGGGAATCGAGTCGTAATAATTTGGTTATGAATTTTTATTTTATTTCTACAGCTTTAGCATGCATATTCATTCATGTCAACATGCACATAGTGGATATGGATTTGTGTCTTCACACATCACTCATTTCATTTTAAATATTTGCTTTATCAACTTTAAGTTAAGTGGGGGAAGTAATGGTATCCTAATGGTTTTAACTTGTGTAAGACTCATGAAATCATCTAGGTCTTGCTTGATTGTTTACTCGATAGTTGTTTGTATGTCAATCTGATATATTACTAGTGTCCAACTTGATAAATTGGTTATTAAAAACTTGGCTTGAGATTGCTTTTTCAAGATATCTACTTGATATTTAATTGTCATGTGCTTAGTTTGATCATTTTCTAATGAATTCTCAGCTTTTGTATTGAATAATAATGGGGAGGTATTTGATAATTATTTTCAATTTGTCCACCTTCTCTTTGGATAAGTTTTGATGGCATTGAATTATATACTTATAAATTTTTATTCTCGGCTATTGGATTTTTGACTTCACACACCACTCATTTTATTTTAAATATTTGTTACATCAACTTTAAGTTAAGTGAGGAAGTAACGGTATCTTAATGACTTTACCCTAGGTAAGACTCATGAAACTATTTAGTTCTTGCTTGATTATTTACTTGATAGTAGTTGGTATGCCAATCTGATATTATCTAGGACCTTTATCATTACGCTAATTGTAAGCCTCATATCAACCTTTCGAGGATAATCACTAGACAACGAGAAACCCTTTTTTAGAGACCAAGTAGTGAACCTACCCTTTGTCTCACATAAAACAATTAGAACCTACCTTTATGATGTATACTCCTTATACATTGTTTTGTATCAAAGCAAACCCTTCTTGAAGCATCTTGAATTCAGAACTTATAGGTGACACAATGGGCATCTCTCAATGAATTTTTGCTATAGAGTTTAAGCAAGAATCAAAATTCTTATTTCATCATGCAAGAGTTATGACCATATATCACCCCTTGAATGGCAAGTTCATCATTTAAAACATGCTTATACATTTATCATGCCACAAGGTTAAAACATAGGTTCCCCTACTTGAGGTCTGCTACACCAGATTGAGAAAAAGATGGAAAATGAAGAAAGGGGTCAAATAGAAGCTCATTATCAAAAGGAAATTGAAAGCATCAAAGGTAAAGTAGCTAGACTCATAAATCTATTTGAACAAGTGCTGAGCTTTAAAAATAGAAAGGGATTTTTTTGCATAGTCTCCTATGGAAACAACATAAGTCTATGTCCCACACAAGGAAAAATAATTAACTCTTCTTTTTAGCACTTTACTAGCAGCGGTCACAACATCAAAGTTGCACCTTCTCTCTTTCATTTCAGTCATAAAAAACAAAAACAATGCCTTCAGTCATTAATGAAAGACAACCTCCTTTCTTGTTCAGCTACACTATTAGTTGTTCACAACGTTTACATCTCTTTCTAGTAGTTTCCAATAGCTGTCAACCTTCTGTGCCATAAGTCGGGGTTCCAGCCATTTTTATTGTGAACTGAATTCCAACCCAGCAACGCAACATATGGGTTTGAAAAAACACTTCAACAGAGTAAAACTCCATCTATAGAGATCTTTTGGTGGCTCTACTACCAAAGAATCCAAGAAAGGATGTAGTAGTTCCATATCATCTATATTTTTCTCCCACCAGTGTTAAAACACAGACGTAAGGAGAAGAGATAGACTTGAATTGAAAAACCAGAAAAATTGAAACTACAACATAGCATAACTCTATCTAAAGGTGTTTGTTTGTTGCACCATCAGTGAGGAATCGAAGAGGAGATAAAAGAGTTTCATATTCATCTGGTTCTCCTCTAGTAGAGATAACATGTAATTCCACACATCGGTAGTAGTGATGCTTGATTAGTACTTAAAAGTGCATTTTTACCAAGGTTTTATATCATCATTTTGCACTTGAAGTATCAATAACTCCTTAGTTAAAACATGTTTTATAATAAGGTATCTCATAATATCAAATACCTTTAATTTGTGGTAAATGTTTATTTTAAATGCAGGCCTATCACATAAATGAAAGGATTGATTGATGAATTTAAGAACTGAAATTGAAAGGACAAAGAGATGGCTAAACTTCGAAAAGAGATGTCGATGCAGTTCAAACCGGAATACTGTTCGGTAATTGGATCATATCTGGAGCTATAGATCTCCAATTTAGGTCCACTTTATATGGATGGAAAGGTAAGACATAGGCCTACAACTTTTATATAGAGCCCTAGATCTAAAAAAGCCATTTTCAAGTCTAAATTGTAGCAACAACAAAGAAGCCTGAATTTGTCTTCCAGCCCGAGCACTGTTCAGTATTTGGCCCATATCTAGAGTTCTAGAAGTCCAAATGAGTTGAATTTTTCACACAAGAAAGCTGAGATAATTTCCTACAACTTTCATTTTTTCAAGTGGCTCTAATTTGGACGTTATCAATGACATTTTGGGCAGACAATAAAAGATAAAGATTGTCACCAAGTCAAGAGTTGGCCACCTACTCATCAATTAGTCATCAAATCAATAGTTCTCAATTTTGGCCTATAAAAGGAGGCATTTGCCATGCATTTAGGCATCTTGGTGTCCAGATCAAGATCATACTCTTGCTTTCTCTCTTGTATTTTTTTGTATTGCTTATGCTTTGCTTTCATTAATATCAAGTTTATGCCTTTCATTTCCTTTCATTTACTTAGTTAACTTTTATCTTATTTATGTTTTTATTTTGTTTATTTATTTTTCTTTCTTATGCCTTTCATTTCCTTTCCTTTACTTAGTTAACTTTTATGTTCTTATTTTGTTTATCTATTTTGCTTTCTTTCATTATGTCTAGCTAAGTTAGTTATGTCAAGGTGAAAAGGTTACACTAATGGTGTAAGAATAAGTATAGTGTAAACTTAATATGGACTTTAATGTTTGATACTAACATGTTTTATATTTGTTATCTTGTTCACTCTTTAATACTTTGCTTGTTAAATGATTAATCTTGATTTATGTTGTATAACACTTATTACAACAAATGCTTGGCACTTTCATAGCCCATAATGTATGGTATAACCGACACCTGAGCTATGAAAGGAACTTGATTTGTTGTTACTATAAGTTATGATTATGAATGCTTGACGAGATTTAAAAGTATTAGCATTAATTGAATAAGATGACTAATGTAATCATGTTAACAATCTATAATCCGATTGGAACATCCTTTGTGTGTGGTTTCCAATTGACTAATAAGAGTTTATACTATACTTGTTTGACATACCATTAGCGGATCCTCTAACCTTGACATTTATTGTTATCGTTGTTAAATCTTTACGTTAATATTCCATCTCAAAGTTCTCATCTTCTTCTTCTTCTTTTTCTTTTTCTTTATTATTATTATTATTGTTGTTGTTGTTGTTGTTATTATTATTGTTGTTGTATTATTGTTATTTATAATTTGTACAATTAACCTCCCTATGGTTCGACCCCGGTCTTGTCGGGTTATTTATTACTTCGATACTCCTGCATTTAGGAGAAGACATCAATCTTTTAGTCGTGTCAATGCTATATGTTTTCATGCATTTCCAAGATTACCTAATAACCTTGGAAGGTTTCCAACAATCCTTAGACAACCACAACTACCATAGAAGATTGACAGGAGGTTGTGATTATTGCTTGAAGAATTGAACAAACTAGCAAGATGAGAAATATTAAATGTCCTACCATGGATTCTAGAACAATGATAAAAAGATGGTTGTTAAATGGGAAACCTTAGTTATATAATCCAACTAGGTCTCATTATAACATCAACTGCTTAAGTGCCTTTGCTAAGATTGTCATCTGTTTGCCACTCAAGTTCATCTACCAGCACCTGTTAGATTTCAGACTTATTGCCTCAACTTCATGAAATCCCATGTAACCACTATTTCATAAGTGGTATAATCCAAATAAGAGGTGTGAATATCATGGTGGGGTCTTGGGCCATTCAATTAAATAGTTATAAAAATTGCAAGATTTAAGTCCTGAAGTTAGAGAGCAACAGGCAAGTAGAGTTTGTGAAAGATGATGTCATTTTTCATATTGTCACTAGAATGTCTCAACATGATAAGTTATCAAAAATATTTGGCAAAACATAAATATTGCTAGAAAAGCTAATCCAAGAATGGTCTTGAATTGTAAATCATTTTATTATAGAGTTTTTCCATTTTCCATTTTGCTTTAGGATCACATCCTATCATTTAACGAAACATGTCTCTTTTTTATCTTTTTATTGTTTTGAAGTTAGTAGGTGTTTACCGTTTTATATGGATAAAATATTTTAATGAAACTCTAACATGCAAAATGAAGGTCAATCAATCCTTAAAGATTAAAAGTGTTTTGATTGCAAAAATGACTCATTGGCATGATAAACAATACGGGGTGACCAAACAGATTTTGAGCTCATATATGATTTTGAACCACACATCATTTAGCTAAGTTTTAGCACTATGTATAATGACATGTAGTGGATTCAGTTGTTATGGACTCATGAAGAAGTCAAAATCATTACCGACCTTACTTGAAATGAGAAAAGATCATCTTTGTTCACTTTTTTCACATTTCTTGAAATATATATCCCTTGCAATCCCATTTTAAGCCTTGTAGATTTGTTTTTAAAAAGAAACCCACATATGGATCACATCCTACAATAAGGGCAAATGAGAGATATTTTGTTTGAAAAGATGGAGACAATGACAGAATCAATGGTAAAGAGAATGTTAAGAACAAAAGTTCAACGATTAAGAAAGGGCTAAAAGAGAAAAGAGAGATATATACTGAGGGGCA